ATCATAAGCCAGCTTCCTAATGGCGTAGGAACTGGCCCCTCGGGGACGTCCTTCAAAGTCCTGCGCGACGCGGTGCTTCACAACTCCGACATCTGCGACCACCTGCTGGCTCTCACGAACGCGGCCCTCGCTGGTGCCCTTTGCCCCGAGGCCTCCGGCTGCTCACCTCCTCGCGCCTCCTCGCTGCAAACCTTCTCAAAGCCTGGTGGCGGCACTTGGCCCATTGCTGTCGGCGAGTGCCTCCACCATCTAATTGCCAAAAGCCGCGCTCCACCTCGCCACGCGGCCTGCCTAACTCCACTTCGCCCTCATTCAGTTCGGAGTCGCCATCCCCGGCGGCGTGGAGGTGATAATCCACATCACCTGCGCCTATCTTGACATCAACTTGGGGCACATCGCTCTCCAAATCGATGTTTCAAACGTGTTCAACGCGATCAAGCGCACCGCCGTCTTCGCGGGGCTCCGCGGCACACCCTTGGAGTTCCTCGTCCCCTTCGTCCGGCTCACTTACGGTGGCCCCTCCGCCCTCCATGTCGACCACGGCTTTGATTTCCCCCCCCTCGCCAGTGCACGCGAGGTCCGCCAAGGGGACCCTATGGGTCTTTTGCTGTTTGCGGCGGGCCTGCACCCCGCGCTCAAGGAAACTGCCGCCGCCTTCCCTGACGTCCTCGTCCTCACCTATGCGGACGATGTCACGCTCCTGGTTCCGCCAGCAGCGTGCTCCGCTGCCTTCGCCCACCTCACCACCGCCATTGGCGGCTGCGGCCTCCGCCACAACCCAGCGAAGTGTGAAGCCTGGGGCCCACAGGGTGTGCCACCCGAGACGCTGCCACCTGGCGTCTCCGCGTCCTCGGCAGTCCCGTGGGGCCGGTGGACGCCTGCGCCGCTGCCATCCGCGACCGCCTCGACAACGGCGCCGCCCCACTGCCATTGATCGCGGAGCTGGATCCCCAGATCGCCCTCCTCCTCCTCACCCGCTGCCTCACCCGCCGCACCAGTTACCTGCTCCGCTCGACCCCCCCGGAGTGCCTCCCCCAGGCGGAGTGGGACGCCTGGGGCGAGCGGCTCTTCCACACGGCGTTGGTTGCCTGCCGTTTGCCGCTCCCCCACGCGAGAATCGAGAGGCGGCGGGTATGGACGCAAGCCTCCCTCCCAACCACCCTCGGTGGGCTTGGGATTTGCAACCCTGCTGCGGAGGCTGGAGCGGCATATCTCACCTCCATGGCCGCTGCTGCGCATTTTCTCAGTGCCCTCCTTCCAACCCTCCCCGCTACGCTGGGCCAGCTCCTGCCCCTCTTCGACCCCGACCCGGCCGCTCCAGCCCCTCTGCCGCGTCGGCTAGCCGCGCTGGAAGCCGCCCTCCCGGATACTGCTGCCGAGCTGTTTCGGGAAGAGCGGGCTTCCCCCGACCCACGCAAGCTGCAGCGGGCTTTGGCTCTGCAGGTCCAGGCGGAGCGCTTCACCACGCTCCTGCAGGAAGCCTGCCAGCTGCCCCTGAACCAACTCCAGGGGCATACCCAGCGCCTCCTCTCCCTTATGGGCCCAGGGGTGGGGATTGGCTCCACGCCTTCCCCCTCTCCCCCTCCCTGCGCCTCTCCCCCGGTCACTTCTCCACCGCCGTCGCCTTCCGCCTCGGCCTTCCTCACACTACGCCGGGACGCTGTGATTGCTGGCGGCGTGTCGACATCCAGGACCCCCGACTCCCCAACCACCTTCTCAGGTATGACACGGGCCCTGGACGTACCAGCACGCACCACGCCCTCCGTGATGAGTGCGCTCGGATCGCCCTCGAGGCAGGCTTCATCACCCGCTCCGAGACCAACCTCTTCACCCGCGTCACGAACCTCTGGGCGGATGTGGCGATCCGCCACCCCGAATCGGGGGCGGTTTGGATCTGTGACGTGACCGTCACCGACCCCATCTCGAAGGAGGACGAGCATGCCCGTCGCGGTACTGGGTGGGCAGTCCGAGTCGCCGCCCACGGGAAGGAGCGTAAGTACCGCCCGCCTGCCCGCCCCGAGTGGGTCGGATTTTATGCCCTGGCCGCCGAGACCTACGGGCTCACCTCCCCGGGGGTCTTCCGCTTTCTCCGCGCCTGTGCCGAGCTGGCGGCAAAACGCCGTTACGACGCTGCAACCTTCCTCCCGCGAGGCCGCCAAGCTGTTCCACGAGTACCGTCAACGTTGGTCGGTCACTCTGCAGCGCAGGCAGGTCGTCGCCGTCAACACGAAGATCAACCAGGCCCTCGCGGCTGAAGAGAGCCCGCTGGGTTTCCCCCGCGGAGCCCCTCCCGTGGGTGACCTGCTGCAGGCTTAGGTGCTACAAACGCTCTGGCAGACGCGCGTTTAGCGTTCAAACGCTTGCGTTTGAACGCAAACGCCAAACGAACCCTAAAACGCAAACGCTCGCTGGTTTTTTTTTTTCAGGCTGCCCCCTGGAAAAAAATCGAAAAAAATTGGGGCGAAATTGAGACTTGGCGAATTCAGCCCGACATTTACCAAGTCCCAACTCCCAACCATCTGGTCAATATTCACCTCCCAACCAACTCCCCCCCCCCAACCGCACTCCACACATCGTCAACTAGAGCTTCCAACCCCTCCTCACATCTCGTAGTTTCACGCAAACTCCCAATCTCCTTCCCCCGTCAGATCTGCTTTCTAATTGCCGCGCGCCATAGCCGTAGCAACTTTCACACCCCACGCAATACCTTAACTTAAGGGCGCTCGCCCATGTCAACCCCTAAGAGCGATGCGGATGTTGAGCGAGCGATGCCGGAAGCAGTACGGCAGCGGCAGCAGGTGAAGGAGGGGGTATGTTGATGGAGCAGTGGTGGACTTGGCATGGAACAGATTACCCCGAGCTCGCAGAGCTGGCTTGCCGTGTGCTCACGCAGCCGGTGTCCGCGTCTAGCTGCGAGCGCGCTTGGTCTATGTGGGAAGCTGTGCACACGGCGCGCAGGAACCGGCTGGGTTCCGAGAAGTGTAGGGACCTCGTGTATGTTGCGCACAACTGGCATGTTGTGCGCAACTGGCACAAGTCCCTCGACGGGACTACACGCGTGCTCACCGGGAACATCCCGGCGGCTCCCATCCCCAAAGGCTACAATGTTGATGCAGAGGGGGAGTTAGAGGATGATGAGGAGGGATTGACCCCGTGCTCGCGGACGAGTACGGGGAGGAGGAGTGGGTGGGTGCGGAGTAGCATGGACAGATAGGTAGAGGGCACGAAGCAGTGTTGGGGAAGGGCGGGGGGGGAGTGGTTGTTGTGTTTGGGGAGGGAGAATGGGCTTTAGGACACGTGTTTTGCATGACATTTGAGGATGCTTGCATAAATGTTAATGACGGATTTGTTTTTCTTGGACAAAATGGTTGCTTGCAGAACCCCCATTTCCCCACCCCCCACAGGAAATTTTTACACCTGCCCGGGCAAATTTTTTAGCCCTGCCCGAGCAAGCGTTTGCCTAGCGTTCACATACACTATGACAAGCGTTTAGCGTTCAAACAAGGGTTGAGCAAAACTACCCGCCCGGGTCGGGTACCCGGTACCCGGACCCGCTTTTAGGGCGGGTCGGGTATCGGAAATCCTGAAAATTACCCGGCGGGTCGGGTACGGGTTACCCGGGGCGGGTATCAATACCCGCTACCCGAAATGCTACCCGACGCGTCGGGTAGCGGGTACCCGACCCAAAATCGGGTAGCGGTCTACCCGACGGAACCAGCGAGACATTAGTCGCGCTGGTAGAGAAATTTCATCAAATTCTAGGTTACGTGAGCTGCTAGGTCACTTAGAGCATTGTAGATTGGCAGGGGTTGGGTTTCGTAGATACACATGCATTCAAAGTGGTTGAATTGGGGGGAATTGGTTGGAAGTCAAACCAATCGAATTTCCCCTATCGAATTTGCAACCCAACCTGAATCCACCCAACCGCACAGCACCACATTGGTTGGAGTTCCAACCAATTGACTCTGGGGGTCAAAGAATCAAACCCCCAGAAAGCGCACACAACCCCATTCCAACTAGAAAACCCAACCAACTCCCCACTCAGGCCCCACTCACGACCCACTCACCACACCAGAACTGTTAAAGATTTGGCGCACCTCATACTCCCTCCCGCAGCTCACGTTTTTTGAAGCACCATCTAGGTCGTAGGCTTAGTAGCCCAACAGGGTAGAAAAACGCGGGTAATACTACCCGCTTTTCAAGGAAACCGGGTCGGGTATACCCGGACCCGCCAGGCGGGTATTAAATTACCCGCCCCCAAATCCCGGGTCTGGGTATTGGTCCTGGGCATGTTACCCGATCCGTACCCGACCCGAAAATACTCGACCCGAAAATACCCGACCCGAAGTCGGGTATAGCAAAACCGGGTCGGGTCGGGTAAATACCCGGTTTTGCTCATGCCTAGTTCAAACGCTAGTGTTTGAACGCTAGCGTTCAAACGCCAAACGCGTTTGTAGCAACTAAGGCTGCAGGTCCTCGAGCTCGACCTTGGCGAACCTTAGGGTCGCTGTGGTCTAAGGAGCTAGGCGTTTGAAGTTGCCTGTTTTGCTTGCTGTTCTCCATCTACTACCTGCCATGCCTGTACCATACCACCTACTTAATACAAGGACAAGTTGAAGGTGAGTTGGAAAGGAGGTTGGGATTATGGTCCCCGCCAATAAGGTGGGTTGGAGGATTATTGGTGGGGCCAATGATCCCGGTGGAAGGGGACCATGAGCATTGGGGAATCCAATCATTCCAACCCAACCTTTGGGCTCCCTTAATGGCCGACAAACACTCAATCCCCAATTAGGGTTACTCCTAGTTTATGCCCTAGATAAACTAACTTGGATATAAATAGAATGATATATTTTACAACAACATATGTCACCGTGTGCACGAACTGAAACATACATATGGCCTCCATGTGCCCACACTGACATACATACAGATGGCTCCAGACAATTATTTTACCTCTATAAAGATGCTCCACATTTGTATCCCATGCTTTTGAGGTTGGGTTGTGAATCGAATGCAAGAGCGTGTGGGTGGGGAGGGAAGTGAATTCAAAGTCAAAATGCGCCTCGTTCGCGTATGTCGTGCATTGCGCGACAGCACACTACTGGGTGCGAAACATTTGTCAGGGCCGTTGCGAAACCGTAGTTCATTTCGCAAAAGCCTTGGCGAAACCCACAACAAGTGCGACTCCATAGTCGGGCGATGTCGCGCCTCAGGAAAACATTGACCAAACAAATTACACGGGTGCACACCCAACCATCGAAGATCGAAACGAAATTGGAATTTTGGCAGTTACGCCTTAGTTTGAAAAGTACGGTTTAAAAAAACGACCGTATTTTCCACCAAGCACAAAAACACGCTTTAAACCACTATTTCGAAATCATACGGCCGGATAGTATGGTACCATACCATACAGCCTAAAAATGAGAGAAAAAAAACAAAAACAAGACAAACAAAAAACAAGGACGGTTTTTCTAACCTTGTCCGTGTGCTCTCACTGACATACATATGGCTAGACATGGGCGTAATACCGAGCCGGCTCGGCTCGGAGTCGCCGAGCCGAGCCGACTTTTTTTTTGGGCGAGCCGAAGCCGAGCCGCCGGCTCGGCTCGGAGTTAGGCTTCACTGAAGCTGAAGCCGAAGCCGAGCCAAGCCGAGCCGAGCCGAGCCAAGCTGAAGCCCGGCTTGCTCTGGCCCGGCTTCAGCGCGGCTTGAAACCGCAGGGGTCAAAATGCGACCCCCCCAAAATCGCGACTCTCATTTTGAGAGTCGTTTTTTTTTACCCTAGTCTATCTAGCACCCCCCTACCTCGCCTAAGAGCCCTCTAAGCACCCCAGCACCCGTTCTAAGATCTCCTTTCCTGTGAAGGCGAGGGGCTTGACCCCCCACGTTGTGTGCACCATGTTTAATCTAGACCCCCCACCCTGGCTTCAGGGCTTCAAAAACGAGCCGAGCCGAGCCGAGCCGAGCCGGCTCGTTTTCCGGCTCAGCTTCAGCTCGAAGCCGGCTTCAGCGAGCCGAGCCGGCCTGAGGCTGAAGCGAGCCGAAGCCGGCTCGGCTCGGCTCGGCTCAACTGAAGCCCGGCTCCGCTCGGCTCGGTGTTGCGCCCATGTCTACATATGGCTCCATGTGCTCGAACTGACATACATATGGCTCCATGTGAAGGTGCGGGTTGAGCAGCAGAGCTCGCACGAGCCGCATGAGGCTGAAAAGTAGGGGGCAGTCGTCCAACGAGCGCATCACCTGAGGGAAGGGGGAGAGGGGGAGAGGGGGTGAAGCCCGAGATGGTTGGATGCAAGAAATGGGAAACTATGCCAGCTGGGATGGGCTGGGGGTGAAAGAGGTTACGACACAGGGGAAACAAGCGAGTACCGTGGACGAAGTGGATAACAAGGGGAGAACGATAGAAAAACACCAAGGGGAGAACGATAGAAAGACACCAAGGGGAGAACGATAGAAAGACACCAAGGGGAGAACGATAGAAAGACACCAAGGGGAGAACGATAGAAAGACACCAAGGGGAGAACGATAGAAAGACACCAAGGAGAGAACGATAGAAAGACACCAAGGGGAGAACGATAGAAAGACACCAAGGGGAGAACGATAGAAAGACACCAAGGGGAGAACGATAGAAAGGCACCAAGGGGAGAACGATAGAAAGACACCAAGGGGAGAACGATAGAGAGACACCAAGGGGAGAACGAAAGAAAGACACCAAGAATGTATCTCACCTCGTCAGCAATGAAGTGCACAAAATAGGGCAGCAGGGGGTGCAGTCCGGCATCGAGCGCCACACTGCGCAGCGCATGAGACAGCAAGCTCTGCTGCTGCTGCTGCTGCTGCTGCTGCTGGGCAGGTGGAGTGGCAGCGGAGGTGGCAGGTGGAGTGGAGCGGGCAGTGAGGAGCAGCAGCTCGGTGACACGCTCAAAGTAGAGCTGCGAGGGGCGGGCGGCATGGCCAGGTGGGGTGGGTGACAGAGAGAGGGCGGGAAATGCGTTTACAAAAAGAAATCCCTCGCACAGGAGAGTTTACAGCCCAGCCTGAGGAAAGGGGGTTGCAGGTTGGTAAACAATGGGCGATACGGAGAGGCAAAAAAAAAGGAGAGTGAGAGAGTGAACTGCTGATCGTCTTTTTGGTGTGGCAGACAAAGATGGGGAGGTGAAACATAGATAGGGTGCAATGAAATAATGGGTAGGTTGAACGTGAGAGACTGGCAGAAGGGCAAGTGGATAAGAAGGACTACGGCGTGGGAGGGGAAGGAGGGAGGGTGGGCAGATGCCATCGGCATGACGAGTTTGGGGCGCTTTTGAGTTCGGCATGACTCAAAAGCTCCTTGGACAGCACGCACCTGCAGCTCCTTGGACAGCCCGCACCTGCAGCTCCTTGGACAGCACGCACCTGCAGCTCCTTGGACAGCCCGCACCTGCAGCTCCTAGGACAGCACGAACCTGCAGCTTCTTGGACAGCACGCACCTGCAGCTCCTTGGACAGCACGCACCTGCAGCTCCTTGGACAGCACGCACCTGCAGCTCCTTTGACAGCGCGCACCTGCAGCTCCTTGGACAGCACGCACCTGCAGCTCCTTGGACAGCGCGCACTTGCAGCTCCTTGGACAGCACGCACCTGCAGCTCCTTGGACAGCGCGCACCTGCAGCTCCTTGGACAGCACGCACCTGCAGCTCCTTGGACAGCACGCACCTGCAGCTCCTTGGACAGCACGCACCTGCAGCTCCTTGGACAGCACGCACCTGCAGCTCCTTGGACTGCACGCACCTGCAGCTCCTTGGACAGCACGCACCTGCAGCTCCTTGGACAGCACGTGCTTCACCGGCATCTTCACCTCCACCACCTCCACCCTGCCTGGCCCTGCCGCCCCTCGCTGCGCGCTGGCATCTCCTGTGCGACCCGCCTCCGCCTTCACTGCTGCTGATGGTGGCATGGCTGGGGGCGAGGGAGGGAGAGAGGCAGAGAGTGTGGTGGTGGTGCAGCCAACATGGCGAGCGGACATGGCGAGCCAACATGGCGAGCCGACATGGCGAGCCGACATGGCGAGCCGACATGGCGAGCCGACATGGCGAGCCGACATGGCGAGCCGACATGGCGAGCCGACATGGCGAGCCGACATGGCGAGCCGACATGGAGAGGGTGGGAAGGAGGGCGCTCGAAGGAGAGCCAACATGGAGAGGGTGGGAAGGAGGGCCCTCAAAGGAGAGCCGACATGGAGAGGGTGGGAAGGAGGGCCCTCGAAGGAGAGCCGACATGGAGAGGGTGCGAAGGAGCGCCCTCGAAGGAGAGCCGACATGGAGAGGGTGCGAAGGAGGGCCCTCGAAGGAGAGCCGACATGGAGAGGGTGGGAAGGAGGGCCCTCGAAGGAGAGCCGACATGGAGAGGGTGGGAAGGAGGGCCCTCGAAGGAGAGCCGACATGGAGAGGGTGGGAAGGAGGGCCCTCGAAGGAGAGCCGACATGGAGAGGGTGGGAAGGAGGGCCCTCGAAGGAGAGCCGACATGGAGAGGGTGGGAAGGAGGGCCCTCGAAGGAGAGCCGACATGGAGAGGGTGGGAAGGAGGGCCCTCGAAGGAGAGCCGACTGTTGTAAAATATATATCTACACAACATGCATGCCTAGATTAGGAGGTGTAGTCATTATAATTATTGGGGGGTTGTTGGTTGGGTTGACCAACCCCACATTTGGGTTGGTCAAGATTGGATTTGGTCCTAGACATTTGGTTGGCACTATTCCAACCAAATGGTCCTTGGTCCTAGGACCCAACCAATCACCAAGCATCACAATTTGTGGTTGCTTGCCTTCCAAGCAATCTCTCTCATTGGTCCACATTGTGGCCAATCGGAGAGCACCACACTTTGTGGTTGCTTGCCCTACAAGCAACCTCTCCCATTGGTTCACTTTATGGCCAATAGGAGAGCTTCCCTTCCAAACTCTTCCTTGCTCCTTGTTTTGTACAAAAGAGCCTCTTGGCTCCCTACTCAATCTAATCCTTTCTCTTCTAAGCTAGTTCCTTCATGGTAATCAGAGCCACAATGGCTCTCGCCACCTCTAGTCGATCCTAAGTAGCACGGCCCTATGCCGTCCCTCCTCGTCTTCGAAGCCTAGCCCTTCCTTAGGCTACTTCCCGCGCCCCCCGTGCGCCCTCTCCCGCCGCACTATTCCGTCGCGCTCGCTCTTCCTCCCGTCGCGCGCCTTTTGCCGCGCCCGCTCTCCCTTCCGTCGTGCCCCTCCCGTCACGCCTTACGACGCGCTTTTGCCCGTCGCATCCTCCTACTGCGCCCGTTGTTGCGCTCCTCCGTCGCACGGCCCGTCGTCGCACCCGTCCGTCGCGCTCTCCGCGCGCCCGTCCGTCGTCTCTCCCCTCTCATGGACCTCCTCTTTCAGGCTGTCTTACAACAAAACACTAGCCCAACCCTGCCGTCGAGCTCCAGTACAGCGGTCCCAACAGCAGCAGCAATACCTGAAGCAGCAGTTCCACCCACTGCAGCAGCACCAACAGTTCCACCCACCGCAGCAGCACCAGCAGCAGCAGCCGTCGCTCCTTCGTCGCCTTCACCCGCAGCAGCAGCAGCGGCAGCAGCAGATGCAGCAGTAGCAGCCGCCTCAGCAGCAGCAGCAGCAGATGTATCCTCAGCAGTAGCAGCAGCTGCAGTCCTCCCATTCATTTTCCACTCCTCCCTCCTCGAGGACTCCCATGAGGAGTTCCTCAACCTCCACCTGCATGATCCAACCCTCCTACCCATCTCCCCTGACCTCAGCGGCACACCAGTCTTCGCCTTCTCCTCCGCCCTCACCATCTTCGTCCCCGCCATGTACGAGGAGGCCATGGCGTGCCCTGACGCTCACCTCTGGCTCGCGGCCATCCTCAAGGAGTTGGAGGCGTTTATTGCCAACTCCTCCTTTGTGGACGTGCCCCGCCCTTCCTCTACCACGAACGTGGTCAAAGGGAAGTGGGTGTTTCGGGTGAAGCAGCTTCCTTGCGAGCCGCCGGTCTACAAGGCCCGCTACATCGCCAAGGGGCTTCACCCAGCGCTACACTGTCGACTTCTTCGACACCTTCTCTCCCACAGCCAAGCCCGCTACCATTCGCGCAGTCCTCGACCTCGCCGCTCGCCTCAACATGGAGATTCACTCCATGGACGTCTCCAACGGATTCCTCCAGGGGGTCTTGCGCGAGCTCATTTACATGGAACATCCTGCAGGCTTCCACCTCCCCTTTCCTTCCGACTCTGTCTAGCAGCTGCGTCGGCCGGTGTATGGGCTCAAGCAGGCACTACGGGAGTGGCATGCCAAGCTTGCTGCCACCCTCGCCGAGCTTGGCTTCAGCACCTCCCGTGCTGACCCCAGCCTCTTCCTCCACACCTCCCCCTCCCCCTTCTACATCCTCGTCTATGTCGACAATATGATCCTCATCACTGCCGACTCCGCCGAGCTCGAGCGCGTCAAGCGTGAGCTTGGCAGCTGGCTCAAGTGTAAGGATCTAGGAGAGCTGCAGCACTTTCTCGGCATGGAGATTACACGCGACCGTGCTGCTCGCACCATCTCCCTCTCCCAGGGCCACTACCTGCAACAGGTCCTGGAGCGGTTCGACATGGCTCGAGGCACCCCTCAGGTCACCCCTCTTCTTGTTGGGCACCACCTCACTCCCCTCACCTCCCCCTCCTCCTCCTCCCACCCCAATGCTCAGCTCATCGGCTCTCTCATGTATGCCATGGTCTCCACCCGCCCTGACCTGGCATACCCCATCAGCGTTTTGGCCCGCTTCGTTGGTACCGGCAAGCATGATGCAGCCCACTGGCAAGCGGCCAAGCATGTCCTCCGCTACCTTCGGGTGACCAAGGACTACGTCCTTACCCTTGGCGGCCCCTCCCCTCCCCTCCTCACTGGCTACTCTGATTCCTCCTGGGCTGACTCTAGGCCTGACCGCCGCTCCTCTCAGGGCTATGGCTTCTCTCTTGGCAGCGGCCTCATCAGCTGGCGCTCCACCCGCTCCTCCTCCATTGCCTTCTCTTCCTGCAAAGCAGAGCTGTATGCCGCTACCGTGGCTGCGCAGGAGGCTCGCTGGCTCGCCTTCCTTCTTGAGGAGCTTGGTGCCCCTCAGCGCTGTCCCACCATCTGGTGCGACAACGCCAACACCATCCACCTCACAATGGATGCTGTGTTCCACGGGCGCTCCAAGCACATTGAGCTTCGCCACTACTTCATTCGCGAGCTTGTGCAGGGTGGCCACCTCCAGCTGCGCAAGATTGACTCTGCTGCCAATCTTGCCGACATCTTCACCAAAGCCCTCCCCCACACCGCCCACTCATCCCTCCTTCGCCTTCTTGGACTCGCTCCCCCCGTTCCCTCGTCCGCCTCCTGATTCAAGCCCTCTAGTCTTATGCATGTTGGGGGGTTGTATTGTAAAATATATATCTACACAACATGCATGCCTAGATTAGGAGGTGTAGTCATTATAATTATTGGGGGGTTGTTGGTTGGGTTGACCAACCCCACATTTGGGTTGGTCAAGATTGGATTTGGTCCTAGACATTTGGTTGGCACTATTCCAACCAAATGGTCCTTGGTCCTAGGAACCAACCAATCACCAAGCACCACACTTTGTGGTTGCTTGCCTTCCAAGCAATCTCTCTCATTGGTCCACATTGTGGCCAATCGGAGAGCACCACACTTTGTGGTTGCTTGCCCTACAAGCAACCTCTCCCATTGGTCCACTTTATGGCCAATAGGAGAGCTTCCCTTCCAACTCTTCCTTGCTCCTTGTTTTGTACAAAAGAGCTTCTTGGCTCCCTACTCAATTTAATTCTTTCTCTTCTAATCTAGTTCCTTCACCGACATGGAGAGGGTGGGAAGGAGGGCCCTCGAAGGAGAGCCGACATGGAGAGGGTGGGAAGGAGGGCCCTCGAAGGAGAGCCGACATGGAGAGGGTGGGAAGGAGGGCCCTCGAAGGAGTGCAGCCGACATGGCGAGCGGATGCACCCCGCAGTTCCAAGCGCGACATGGTGGGAAGGAGGGCCCTCGAAAAGCGACACGCACGGGTGGACGGAGCAGAGGGTGCAAGGGGCAGGTGTGGTTGAGTGTGTGAGGCTCATGCTCGTCCCACGGGCCTTATGACCAACCTGCTGCCCTGCAGTGCCACAACTGCAGCCACTTAATGTCCCCCCTGCTGTGCCCACCATAGCCCACGTCACCTGCACAGCACTGCTCCCACAAACCCAGTGCCTAGAAAAACTCCCACTGAACTGCGGACCCATCCTTTTGCCCACAAACCAGTTCCCCCTCATCATTCCCCCCCTGCAGCACCTGCATTCCCCCCTGCAGCACCTGCATTCTCCCCTGCAGCACCTGCATTCCCCCCCCCCCCCACCTGCGGGGGGCGTGTTCTCCGGAGTGGCGGGCTGCACGCCCTCGACGGCCAGCCAGTGCGCCGCCACACTCACGTCCTGCGAGGCTGGTGGGAGGGGCGCCTCAAACACCTGCGCGTCGTGGGCAGGGGGGGTGACGGGGTGGAGGAGGGAACATGGGGAGGACGCGAGCTGGGCGGCATTGCATGAACGGGCCAGGGCAGGCGAGCACACGAGGGAGCAGTGGCGGGAGTGAAGTGCACACGGTTGGAGGGAGTCCACAAGGCACGGCGGGAGTCCACAAGGCAGGGCGGGAGTCCACAAGGCAGGGCGGGAGTCCACAAGGCGGAGTCCACAAGGGTGTGCAGCCACCTGCAATCCCCACACCCGCTGCAGCCACCTGCAATCCCCACACCCGCTGCAGCCACCTGCAACACCCACACCCGCTGCAGCCACCTGCAATCCCCACACCCGCTGCAGCCACCTGAAATCCCCACACCCGCTGCAGCCACCTGCAATCCCCACACCCAACCTGGGGGAGCGGTAGCAGGTGGCGGCCGTGCACCTGTCTGAGGTCGAGGGGCTGGTCGCACCTGTCTGAGGTCCACTGGTTGGTCGTGCAGGAAGAAGACGTCGCTGTGCCCCATGGCGCGGCGGAACCGCATGCTGTCCGCTGAGGCAAACCCAAACAGCGGCTGGGGGAGGGGAGGAGAGGGGGGAGGGGGGAGGGGAGGGGAAAGGGGGGGGGGGGGTGGGGGGGTGGGGGGGTAGGGGGCGTTTCGAGGGCATGCGAGGCATGCGTTAAAGTGGGCATTTGGGCCTCCAGAGAGGCTTTGTGCTCGGCGCATAGAACACGGCATGCGTGAGCTCACCCCTCCACCTCGCCTCCGTACTCCCTCCACCACCTCACCCACCCACTGCATACCTCCCCTCACCCACCGCTTCCCCCCCCCCTCACCTCCACGTTCCTGAGGCTGAGAGCTCACCTCCACGTTCCTGAGGCTGAGAGCTCACCTCCACGTTCCTGAGGCTGAGAGCTCACCTCCACGTTCCTGAGGCTGAGAGCGGCGGCGATGTCAGCCGTGGTGAGCGTGGTGCGCTTGCCGTGCCGCATGCACTTCACCGCCTCCTGTGGCGGGTGACGGGTGGCGGGTGCACCGCATGGCACGGGAGGGGAGGGGACGGGGACACACGTGAGAGAGAGCCGCCAGTGCGCAGAGTTGGTTGCGGCATGGCGAGCGCATGCGCGCTGCTGGAGTCGCGGCTGTGGACCGGGGGGCAACGCGATGCTTCAGAGCGCAGCAAGCACGCCCCGAGTAGCGCGAGAGGTGAATAGCACCGGAGACAGTGTGGGGGGCATGAAACGGACTGCAGGGCTGTGAGAGAGAGTGCTGTGCCAGTCTACGTGCGCAACAGCGCGTGACTAGCACGGGCACACGCCGCGTCATCACCCAGCACCCGCGCCTTCCGCGCATGTCCTGCGCGCGTCCCTGTGTTCCACCATGCCCCCCCCCCCCCCAACCAACCCCCGGCCTTGCCTGGATAATCTCGCGCATGCGGTACTCCACGTCGGGCGCCAGCGCGGCCGCCACATCATCGCCCAGGTTGGCGATGCCGATGCTGTGCGCCGCCACCTGCACGCTCTCCCGCGGCACTGCGCTCATCGCGCCCAGCCCCACTGCCGCCCGCCGCTGCTGCTGCCGCTGCTGCTGCCGCTCTGCCTGAGCGCTCACAGCCGGCTAGCGACCCTTGGGACGCCCCGACGGCAGTGAGGTGAGTGGACGCTCGCAACTCGAGACAGGCGCCGACGAGCACGCACGTGCGACGAGCGACTAGCGCTGCCTCGAGGTGCCCTTGCCCGCTCCGCAGCAACGCATGGCGCCACGTACTGCAGCAAATGTGGACGCACACTTCTCACGCGGGAGCGGGGGCGAGGGGCATCGGAGGGCCAGGAACGGGGGAAACTTTTGAGTCGACTCAAGAGGGCCAGGAACGGGGGAAACGGAGGGCAAGCGAAGGGGGGAGCGAGGGCAGGAGGGGAGAAGCGAAGGGCAGTGAGAGGTGGCATGGCGTGCGAGGAAGGGGGTGGGGCCATGGGTAGGGAGTGGGGAACGCGTGAGGAGCGCAGTGAGGATAGGTACGGCGACGAGTAGGGAAGGTAAAGAGGGACGCGTACGGGAAAGAGTGTTGACGCGCGATAACGGGGCGCTTCCGCACGTGACTACCACGCGAAGCGGCGAGTGGAGGTGGACGGAGATGGTAGAGCGAGTCGAGACGAAAGCTGGGATTCGAAAGCAGCGCCGTTCCTCGCTAAGGTGCTGACAGCTCGAGCAAGGCACGCACTACGGGGAAGTGAGGGGAAGGTGGCGAGAGAGAGGAGAGTAACAGGAGGAAGTGACGAGCCAATACGATGTGGCGACACGCGTTCGCCGCGCACAAGTCGAGTTTGGTCCAGCAGGCGCACGTTCGCCTCTAAAACACAGGCGCAACCCACAGGTTCATAAGCCGTGAGCTTCAACACCAGCAGACACGAGGCTCCATTGAATAAAGCGCAGCACGGAGGTGAGCACTGCTGTGGCAGCGCCGTGCCACTGAGGAAATTCCGCACCTCGGGTCTGACCCGAGGTTGACCCGTGGTCGAGGGAGCCGCGGGGTTTAGTGACTCTGACGGCTACTGTTATGAATGAACAAGCAGAGTAGCGCGGAAATGAATAACGAAGTGTTGAATCACTCAATGACGATACAAAGAATGTCAAGCCAAGATATAGGAACCAAGGCTTCAGATTGGATTTTGAGGGGCTGTTGGCTCAGGGTGCCCCCAGAAGGAGCCCCCGTTTTTCAGGGCCGGGTTTTGAAAGTTGCAATTTTTTTCAGGGTAAAAAATTTCGAAGGCTGAAAAATCAGGACTGAATTTTTTCAGAGCTGAGATGATAGGTTGAACCTTGACGATTTTTTTGGGTGGGTAGGATCTTAACCTAGCACATTATGTTAGACATGGCATGTTTTGTCAGACCAAAAAAAAAAATATGCCTGATTCATCAGGTACATTTTTTAGGTTTATGATCCTTAGATCATATCAGACTTCATTGCGTACAAATTCTCACACTACTAGCATGATTTTAGCCAACGACCAGTCACGCCCCTCACACCTGCTCCAACTTGCGACAGACTGCTGCGTGATTTTGGCGAAGGACCAATCACGCCCCTCACATCTGCTCCAACGAGCGTTACCTGCGTAATTTTGCCTAAGGTCCAGTCACGCCCCTCACACCTACTCCAGCTCGTGTCAAACTGCCTGCGTGATTTTGGCGAAGGACCAATCATGCCCCTCACATGTGCTCCAGCTTGCGTCACCTGCGTCATTTTGGCTAAGGACAAGACACGCCCCTCACAGCTGCTCCAGCTCGCCTCGACCAGTCAGATAGAAATTATGTTTCAGGCTGGAAATCCGTTAAGGCTGATAATTCAGGGTGACCAAAACAAGAACATACAATATTTCAGGCCTGCTCAAATAACAACCCCCAAAATTCAGGCCTAGGAAAAATCAAAAACTGAAAAAACAGGACAACCCTAAAAAAACACCCTGATATACAGCATTTCATGGCATTTTATCCTGACTTCTGAAGCCCTGATAGGAACACCAGAGCTAGTCTAACCATGAGATGTAAAGGTCTGGGAAAGAGATCAAAGGGCCTCGAAGTGACGGAACGAGGCCCGGAGAAGTCCCGAAGGTCGAACTAGAAGGTCAGGAGAAGCCGAGGCGGTTCTGTCAGAAAGGTCCGGAACCGTCCCGAGGTTTCGGGTGTGTTCGAGCGTACGCGCTAGCACTACCGCTCGGTAAAGAATGGAAAATTCCTTACACCACCCCCCCCCTTAGCGAAGGTGATCTATATCAGCCACGTGCTTGCGGGCCAAATAATTCGCAAGTATTGAAGGTGACTGTATCTGGTCCGAGGGCACCCACGTGTCGTCCTCACTGGTAAGATTGGTCCATCGTATCAGAATGTCAACGTGTCGTCCTTGGCCGTCGATACGAATCCTATGGCTCAAAATCTTCGAAGGCTCGATGGTCGTCTCTGCTGGTAGCCGTACATCCGGGACCAATCGTTGTCGAGCGATGTCCGATGTGTCAGGTACGAAGGGTCGCAACAGGCTCACGTGGAACTTGTTGTGACTACGCCAATCGTCAGGTAAGCGCAACTGGGCGGTCACCGGCGTCACCATCTTCAGATCTTGAATGGGCCACAGAAACGTGGTCGTAATTTTGTCGGTAGTGGCAACCGTAAGTTCTTGGTGTCCAAAAGGACTAGTTGCCCTGCTGCCATTGTAATATCTCGTCGATGTAAATCCGCATACCGTCGGGCAATAGCGTTCGCCTTGTGAATAAGTTCGACAGCTTTGTCTCGGACAGTCTGTAATTCTTCGACGAACTGCTGCGACCGTGGTACTTGACTCTCAACGTTGGTAGAGATAAGAACTGTCGGGTCCATCCCGTAATTGGGGTAAAACGGGGAGTGATTAGTTGTAGCTGAGGGCGCGTTGTTGTAGAAGAATTCCAATATGGGAAGCACGTCCTCCCATTTGTTTCGGTCGGGGCAGTTTGTCCGAATCAGCTGTTCCATCGTTTGGTTTATCCTCTCTGTCTGACCGTCCGTTTGAGGATGATAAGCAGATGAGAATTGCAGGCACGTGCCGTATCGAGCCCACGTGACTTGCCAAAAATTCGACGTGAACTTCGGGTCTCGATCGCTGATGATTGCTGCTGGTATCCCTTGTAGGTGAACAACGGTCGAGATGAACAATCGCGCGGTTTCTTCGGCTGTGATGGTTGTACGACATGGTATGAAATGTGCCATTTTCGTCAATCGGTCGACGACAACCAATACTGTATCCTTTCCGCTGGATCCGACCGGCAGACTTGTGACGAAATCCATCGTCACCTATTGCCATGGGCGTTGAGGTGGCTCGAGGGGCTGCAACAGTCCAGTCGGTCTCTGATGTGATGATTTCATTCGCTGGCAGACCGGACACGCGGCCACGTAACGCTGCACGTCCGTCACCAAATCTGGCAAGTAATAAAACCGCTGCAACGCCTTCAAATTTTTATCTACCCTGAAATTTCCCGATAAATTCGAATTGTGGACTTCTTGAATTAGTAATTCGCGAAGTAGACGATAACTTGAGACCCAAATTCGATCTGTCCCACTTCGTAAGTAATAGACGCCTTTCCGTGTAGTGATTTGGAGATGGCCGTCATTTACGAAGAAGGGGTCAGTCGAATACCCGTGGGTAAATAGTCCACTCAGTAGCGGGTTGCTCTGGGCGACTAGTACTGTTGCGAGTTGGGCAGACGGTCTAGAGAGGGCGTTAGCAATATTGTTGGCGCCCTTTTTGTACGTGATCTTGTACGTGAAGTTGGACTCCAGATAGTCCAGCCAACGTATCTGCCGCGGGTTGAGATTCGGCTGCGCCCTTAGGTACTGTAGAGATTTATGGCCGGTTCGCACCGTCACGTCTGCTCTAGTCAGGTAGCACCTCCAGATTTTGAATGCGTGGACACTCGCCAGCATCTCTTTGTCGTGTACCGGGTAGTTGCGCTCAGCAAATTGCATATTTCGAGACCCGTACGCGCTTGGTTGAAGACCATTGTCGAAATCTTGCATGAGCACTGCTCCGATGGCGATGTCACTTGCGTCAGTTATGACTTCGAAGGGCTGCGAAGTACGGGTGGCGACATTAAAAGAGTTTTTAATGCCTCGAACGCAGCTTGCTACTTCTCCCCCCACTCGTAAGAAGTCCCCTTCTGCAGTAAATCAGTTAGAGGTCCAAGTCCTTTAAATCTTGCTCCCGGGTCTTGCTATAAATCAGGATGTCATCCAGGTAAATTATCACACATTTGTCGAGTAGATCACAGAACACCCCGTTCATGGTAAGCTGGAGCATCAAGGGCGCGTTCATTAATCCAAACGGCATTACAGTGTATTCGTAACTCCTGTAGCCAGTACGAAACGCGGTCTTATGGCAGTCGTCAGCGAACACCCGAATTTGATGGTAACCGCCACGAAGGTCAATCTTCGAAAATTAGCGAGCTCCGTGAAGCTTGTCAATCAGCTCGTCCGTGCGTAGGATTGGGTAGTGCGATTTTATCATTACCCGTTTAAGGGCACGATAGTCCGTACACATGCGAAGTCTGCCGTCCTTCTTTGGGGCGAACAGAATAAACCCTTTTGCCTGCAGGTAGTCAAGTTGGTTCCGTAATTCGTGTAGCTCAGGCTGAGTCAGGCACCATTGAGTTCGTACAGTAGGCTACGCGCCGGGCTCCAACTCGATTTTGTGGTCCTAGGGTCGTTCGGGTGGCAATCCACTTGGCAAGTCGTCCGGGAAAATCTCGGGATATTCCCGAATGATTTTTGCCAAGTCATCCGGGACCGAAGCGCAGAGTTTGTTGATGTCGGTCGCCTCATTCTGCTTTGTTGATTCTGTTAGATGAACGGCGTATAAATCCGCTCCATTCTTGACCGCTCGATTGAGGCACACAGCGTTGATTCGTGTTGAGGTTGTCTCTGCTTCCGGCCACGTGGGTAATTTTCGCCAGCCTTTTTCGCACTTCACTATGCACTCGCGTGTCGTCCAATCGATTTGCGGATTAAATCTTTGCAGCCAATCGCGTCCCAATAGCACATCGTAGCCGTCAAACGTTGTCGCTAGCATCGGCGCGCTGAAGCCGAAATCTTCGCCACACATCATTCGAACGACGTGTACTTTGTCGTGTATCGCCAGCGGGGTGCCATCCACAAGTCTCGCGTCAATTTCGGGCAGACACCGCTCCAACGATAAGTGTAGTCTTTGTGCTGTCTCCCGATTTATCAAGCTGTGACTCGCACCTCCGTCGATGAATATTTTAAATTATCTTCCATTGAGTCGTCCTTCCGCCAGCACAGGATGGTCCACTAGTTCATCCCCCTTACTCAGCCGGGAGCGAATGATAGCGTGTATCGTAACTACCACCCGGTGGGGATGGTTTTTTTTGGGCGATGAGGCAGGTTCAGTAGGGGGCCCGACCGCTACTGACGCTTGGCGTTTCCCGACCTGCCTTCATCGTTCTTCTTTATCTCCTTCTTTTGGGGGCAATCATGAGATTGGTGACCCGGCTGGTGGCAGTTGAAACATCGTCCCTTGCAAAAATCTTCCATGTGCTCCTTCACCACTACGCCGTGAATCGTGGGCCATGGATCCTGGCCACGAAAACGAATGCCCTCCTGGGAACCCGCTCTCGCATACGTCCGATGCGTGTCGAAATTGTCTGCGATCCGGACTGCTTCATGAAATCTTTCCGGTAGTCGCAAATGAACCTCTCATTTAATGTCCTGCTTCAGGCCCAAAATGAATCGAGCCTTCTTCTCAGAGTCATGCATGTCGGTGATTTGATCGCATAACGTCATGAAGACCGACGCGTAATCTTGGACAGAACTCCACTGGCGTCAGTTGTCCAGCTTCGTGTGCGCGTTGTCCGAGACGGATATTGGCTTGAATCGTTCACATAGAGCTATACCCAACGCCTTTTACGTGCGAATCTTGGTCGATCCAAAAATCGCGGTTGACCCTTGGGCAGCAGACCCAAAGTTTCCGAAAAACCCCTATGTATCGCCTGCCGAAAACTCCCCCTCATGTAGTGTACAGTGACGGAAACAATTGTCAGGATGTTTTGCATGAATTAGGGTTTTTTGCTTTCTGACCATTGTACATAAAGTCTAAATGCTTAATGGTGGTATGCTTCGGGAGGGGCACATAGTGGATGTGTTCACACCGCTAAATTTTATAATAGTACACTGGATCTAACTTTGTGCCAAAAGATATGCGAAGAGTACATCTGGACAATTATTTCCCCGAACAAATATCAAACTTCTGAGCAGCATTTCTAGTACCTAGTCCACCGACACTTGGCGTTGATCACCACCCGCACCCTCCTAAGCATGTAATCTACGAGGCTAGTGCAAACTTTTGCAGCAAACTTCTCGCACTCTTCCTGGACCCACGCTTTTACATAAGGGGATGAGCATTAGGAAAATTGCGAAGTATTAGAGCGTATGCACGAGTATTGTGCACGATTTCATATTGAATGTTATCTCCAAGACTAGCCACGCTGAGGTGCGGCCAAAGATGCCATTAGTTGATTAGTCCCATCTTATCATGGATCGTCTTCGTCGTACTGTTGTAGGGTAAAATTACGAGATGGGTGGCGAAAACTAGCGTATCTGCAGCGAAACTTATGGTAACATAGCACGGTCAACTGTGCACCCTTGCACTATTAGAATCACGCTAGGATTTGTAGGTCTCAACACGATGCAGAAGTCGAAGAAGTCGCGACTGTTGAGAAAGAACATCCGAGTTGAGGTCTGGTGAGGAAAAGGGTCACTCCAGCACAACATACTCATGCTCTCCAAGCCATTCTAAGCCATGTGTCTCACCTAGGCTTGGAATGGCTTGGAGAGCATGATTTTGTAGCAATGGAGTGACCCTCTTCCTCACCAGACCTCAACCCGGATATTCTTCCCCACTAGTCGGGGCTTCTTCGACTGCTGCACCATGACGAGACTCGTGGATTTTAATGTGATTCTATTAGTGAAAGGGTGCACAGTTGACCGTGCTATGTTACCCTAAGTTTCGCAGCAGACACACTAGTTTTCGCCACCCTGCTCGTAATTTTACACTAAAACGGTACGACAAAGACGATCCATGATAAGATGGGACTAATCAACGTATGACATCTTTGGCCACACCTCAGTGTGGCTAGTCTCAAAGATATCATTCAATATGAAATTGTGCACAATACTCTTGCATATGCTCAAATACTTCGCAATTTTCCATGTTCTCACCCCCTTATGCAAAATGGTGGGTCCAAGAAGAATGCGAGAATGTCCTTGTAAAGGTTTGCACAAATCTCGTAGATTACATGCCTAGGAGGGTGTGGGTGGTGATCAAGGCTTGGTGGACTAGGTACTACAAACGCTGCTCTGAATTTTGCTCTTTGTCCTGGGAAATAATTGTCCAGATGTACTCATTGTATATCTCTTGGCATTAAGTTAGATCCAGTGTACTATTACGGATTTTAGCGGTGTGAACACATCCACTGTTTGCCCCTCCCAAAGCGTACCACTATTAAAGATGAAGAATTTATGTACAGTGGTCGGAGGGCCCAAAAACCCTCATTAATGCAAAACATCCTGACAATTGTTTCCGTCACTGTATATTGCCATCAATGTAGCGCAGGTCCCCGCAGTAGTGATACAGCCAGCCGATTTTTTTAATCGTCAGCAGTGATCCCAGCAGCATTAAAATAACGAGCCCGTAACAGTAGTATTCTTATCTGTGGGGTTGAACGGGGGCGGCATTGTCGGTTTGATTGTCGCTATCGTCACTATCGGCACGACTGCTGCTGCTGTCGCCGCTGCTGACCGGGCGGCTGCTGCTGACCGGGCGGCTGCTGCTGTCGCCGCTGCTGCTGTTGCTGCTTCTTCTTCGGATGCTGCTCGTGCTGCCACGTCAGCTGCTGCGGTGGCTTCGTTGTCATTACGCTCCTGAGACACCTCACGTGCGATTTCGTCCAAAACGGTTTCGACACGTCTGGTGATGGCAACCTCCTCTTGGGCGGAAGCTTTCTGGCGCGAATCCTCTCGCGCCTGGCGTAACTCGGCAACTTCTGCACGAAGTCGCTCGTTGTCCTCTAGCACTGTAGCCATGCATGAGTTCATGGCGTTGAACTGCTCCCAAAGCTCGTTGAACTGAGCTTGGTCCATTTGGCGAATGCTTTGCCAGGGCAAGGGGAAATCCGTAGTGTGCCTGTACTCAGGTAAGCACAAACGCTATCGTAGTTGGGCGAATTAATCAGTCTAATTCGCGAGCAACCACTTTGCAGCTTACGTAAGGGACTAACCCCCCCCCCCCCCCCTCCCCCAAAATCAACTCATGAAAACGGGTGAGCGAGGAAAGTGGCTCTGAATACCAGGTGTTATGAATGAACAAGCAGAGTAGCGCAGAAATGAATAACAAAGTGTTGAATCACTCAATGACGATACAAGGAATGTCCAGCCAAGATATAGGAACACCAGAGCTAGTCTAACCATGAGATGTGAAGGTCCGGGAAAGAGATCGAAGGGTCTCGAAGTGACAGAGCAAAGCCTGGAGAAGTCCCGAAGGTCGAACTAGAAGGTAAGGAGAAGCCGAGACGGTTCTGTCAGAAAGGTCCGGAGCCGTCCCAAGGCTTCGGGTGTGTGTTGAGCGTACGCGCTAGCAGTATCGCTCGGTAAGGAATGGAAAATTCCTTACAGCTACATAGGTGCAGAAAGTTGTGCGGTTACACAATTGCAGAAAGTCGCAAAAACCAGTTGACCATGGATGTAAGGAATTACGATTCCTTATTGGGGCGCGCCACTGCGAGTACATGCGAACAGTTCACGTCTGCAGGCTCGGCCCTCAAGTCACGCGCCAAACCAGCCCCCGTCGACCTCGTCGGCCCCAATCTCATCCCAAGTCTCCCCGAACCCATTTTAACCCCGTCACCCTCAGGACTAACGAGCCCTTGACTGGTACAACCCTTGACATTCAACCTGTTCAACTCGCCCTATATATTGCCTTGGCCTCATTATTATGTACAACTTTTTAATAACGTTCCCCTATAGTATTCTACGCCATACTCTGAGTTATAATTAATAACAGCTGGTATCATAGCTATGTTCCTGCCCATTAGGTTTCCGATAGGGGAGCAAACCCTATCGGGGAAGGGGGTGGAAGGATGCTGATGGCGAGCGAACGACGCGGAGATTAATTACGCGGGCATTTCCGATGCCGTCAGATCCTTTCCGATGGACGACTGGGATTAGCCGGTCCTCCCCTTCCCCCGTCGTAGACGGAATTATTCCTTGTCGAAGAGTAGGCGACGTTTTCGCCATATTTTTCGGGTATGTTCGTTAGAGCTTTCGTAATTTTCGGGTGTTTGGACGGAGTCTTCAGATTGGCTTCCGAAAAAAGGCGAAGGCTTTGTCATCAGGATACAAGTGCATGGGAGTCCTCAGATGGCCGGGAGTTGGTCGTCAGGAGCGCGCTGGGTAGCAAAATTAAGGGGACGTACGACGATGTACGTCTGGCACGCCATGCAGCGGCAGGGTGAACTGTAGCTGTGTCACGGCTCCCGGCGTTTCCGGCAGGCTATTTGCAGGCGATGGACGTGACTTCAACACTGTTTCGGCAATGGGCGGATCCAACAATTTCGGAACGACATGATCGCATGAGGACGTGTGG